ACCGAGGACTGGGAAGCCCTGGCTCTTGAGCACTCTAACTGGGGATCAGTTATTACTAACAGTGCTGTGAAATTCAAAGAGGCACAAATGGAGGGCAAAAGGAAGAAACGTGTCAAAAGACAGGCGCGTCAAGCCAACTCTGACTGGGAATGCTTTCCACCTGAAAATTGATGTCGTCTCTGTGGAAGAACAAGATAAAAAATAGGTGTCTCTCTACAGTCACCTATGGACTCAAGACACTTCACTTGGAAGACAATCATACACAAGTGATCGCTGATGAATGATGACTGTTGCTATTTAGAACAAAATCTTATTGCAGGCATGCACTGTAGAGTAATCTGTAACTCCTGAGAATATACAAGTTAAAATATGCATTCTTCTGCAGACTTCAGAATTATAGAAATGAATAAACAAGAGGTTATTCCCCAGAGCTCATATTTAATTTCTCATTATTAAAAAAGACATATCATATGCTTAGTATCAACTCCCTACACTCAAATATTTTTAATGAGGAAATACTAAGGACACTTGAGCATTTGCCTTTAGAAAATATATTCAAGGGGAAGAGGACAGAGCATTGTTCTAGATTTTATGGGAACAATCTCCATGGTGGTACCATACCATTGGCCATCAATAAGGATGGTCAAAACTACTGTGGACACCTTATGAGGAAACCATATCTGCCATGCATAAAATCCGGATTACACTAAAGTGTGTATATAAGGGGCATGCTCAAATATTTAAAATACAAAACTATTGGGTAGTAGACCTTGACAGCTCAAACTAACAAAGAGAACTTCCCCCTTTACAAGCCATTGTTGTTGTTATTGTGTGCCTTCAAGTCACTTCCAACATCCAATATGATGATCTGAAGATGCTATCATGGAGTTTTCTTTGCAAGATTTGTTCAGGGGTAGTTTGCCTTTGCTTTTGTTTGAGACAAAGAGAATGTGGCATGCTCAAGGTCACTCAGTGTGTTTCTATTACTGAACAGGTATTCCAACCCTGGTATCCAATAGTTGACATCCAGTGCTTAAACCACTACACTACACTGGTGGTGGTTGTGGTGGTTGTTAACGGACATCAAGTGAGTTTTGACTTATGGTAACCCAATGAGTGGTATTGAATTATAAATATGCTCTAGGCATAAATGAATTAATTGGTGTAAGGGATATCCTCTCAAGTTTGACTCTGATCCCAAGGTGGCCATTGCACTGAACATGTAGATGCATTTAATGTTGGTTTCAGTTTTATAATGCATGTCCAATTCTCCTTATTATCTTTTAGATGAAATATAGACAGGGATGTAGGCAGAAAAGTAAAGATATACTGTATAATAAGTATGCTAAAGGTTTAACATGATGCAGGGTCCACACATACAATATAAAATTCTAATTAGAACTAAGTAGCACTTTTTCTTGAGAACTTTCACATTGTCAGCTCCCATCAAACCAAAGTTCCTAAATGGTCCTAATCAGTCTTATTCCTATGTCTGACTGGTACTGCAGTGTTACAAAAATATCCCTCATAGTGTTTTTACCTCTTAATGCCAAATATGTAACTATAATAACAATAGGAGCACCAGTGACAGTTACAATAATAGCAAAAGCTTATATTTTATCCTATAACAATTGCAAGGCTAATAACATTTGGACTTCATCAATGTCTGGATGAAATACTCCTAAGCTACAAGGCTTTTCAATGCTAATCAAGGTGACCAATTGCAACATTCATATTTTTCGCAAACAGACAAGAGTTCTTTCTACCACCCTGGACATTCAACAGACATTAGTAGATTGAAGCACAAAACGAGTTGACACAGTATTGATTCCCCCCCCCCCCCCGGGCGCTATTTTTTGAAAATACTATAGTCATCATGTGAATGAGACACAAAAAATCTCCATGTGTCTTATTAGTCTTAATGTGGATGTTCAAAACTGAGTTTCTCTCTTTCCCACAGCTTATCCCTTAACAAGTGTAATAATTTAATTCAAAAAACTATTACTAAAATGATTTTGAAATTAGAAAGCTGAAAAGATCAACATGTATACATTTTCACATAAATATTCTATGTTTGTTCATGGATAATGTGACTCACTATCTTTTTCAGGAGCTTATCATCCGTGTATTATTTACGGTGCGAATTTCATTTTACCTGTTTATGATCTCCAAAATCCATGAAGGAAAATATTGAGATATGACATTATTTATCTTATTGAGTATTCCTTTATCATATTTCCTAAGGCTCTGTTTCTATTATACTGTTGTTTATGTATTTTAATGTGCATTTTTTTTGTGGAAAAGATTTGTCTAAAGCTAGATGTGGAAATGCATAGACTGTGAATAACCTACGTAAAAAAGATTTGAATCCTATTATTATCGCCATTATTGTCATCATTATTATGCTTATTTATACCCCCACTTTTTCTGTCCACAAGGAGACCTAAATAGGCTTATGTAAAATAGGTTTTCCTAATAGGCTTGATTAGAACAAGCTGCAATAACTTCATATGCTTGCTTTTTGCTTCAAAATAAGAAAAGAGTAATGTCGTGTTCAAGCACAGGCAACCTAATGCCTTCCAGACATTTTGGACTATGATTCTTGTAATCATTACTGTTCAAGATAGCTGGGGCTTATTGAAATTGTGGTTCCAAATATTTTGTTTCTGATTTCGGCCAATAATGAATGGCAAACCTAATAGCCTTTTCTGATCATTAGTAATACAAACAGTTTTCTGGCCTACTTGCTGTGCTGCAATAGATGTGGAAGTGACCTTCAAATGTATGTCTCTTACAAAACCTTTATGGAATATCTAGTCTGTATCAGAGTCTGTATAAACAAATGTCAAGGGCTCACAATCTATCTGCTCCTTTTTCAGACTGTGGCCCAGAGTTACACAAACACTGTCATGCTGAAATTCACAGCAGCAGTTTTGCACAAACAAGGTCACCCTTGCTTGAAATTCTCTTCTATAACCTAGCATACAATACAATATATAAATGCAAGGGCACAGCTATGAATAAGGACTAAAAAGCTAAAAGCCAATTTGAACCACATCTTGCTTTAAGTATGTTAATTTACAAATGCGTCCAATGTAGAACACAATCAGACATGATTGAAATACATTCATGTCTAGAGACACAGACAATACCGTAGGCTACTTTTTCTTATTATGCAGGTAGAGGCAGGATCAAAGTCAAAGCGGTGAGGGCAAAGGATGTAATTCTTTGCTAATTTAATACTGGAAGGAAGCAAAAAGTAATCTGAGCAATTTTGTTCCTGCTTCAAGAAAAAAAATCTTTGAATACTATAATGCTACTGAAGACTAATCTCAGTTTAGAAAATACTTGTGAAAAAAAACACGCATGTGATTTTTCTGATCACAAAACCCTTTTTTCTACACAGGAAGCAGCATTTTTGTGCTTTTTTATTTTTTTAAAAAAAGCATATGTGATAGAAACAATCATTTTGTACACTGGAAATGCTGTTTTTGGTGCAGAAAATATTAAAGTTGGCTACTTATTCTGCACAAAATATATGCATGGGTTTGTTTGTTTATTTGTTTTGGAACAGAAGACACATTTTCTATGCTGGAGACAGAATCTTTTGTTGGTTTTCAGTGCAAAATTAACATCAATATTTGAAGTTTTGCACATAATACATCCCACACTGAGATTCAGTCCAGGATTTCCTTATCAGAGATAATGAGAAACACACATATTTTAAAAATATTTTAAAATGTTTTTTTTCATCTCTCCTTAGAACATATATTGAAGGCCCACAACCCAGCAGGGGCTTTTTGACAAGAACCTTTTTTGCCTTCCTCTTCACCATTACAACCTACTTGTTCACCTGCCTCCCATTTTGGCCAAGGCAATAGTGGTGGTGAAAAGATGGACCAGTAGATGCCCACTTCCTAGTTGGCTTTCCTGCTTCCCAAGCAGACATATCTAGAATGAGGTGGAGATGAAGAAGCTTGGCAATTGTAGTACTTCATAGTAACTCTGGAGAAAGTGCACTAATAAAGAGAGATACATTAGTATGAGCATCTTTCTCATGGGTCCTGACCACTTGACATTGGAACTACCTACAATAGAAAACCTCTGGCCTTTCAACTCACAATAATTCTAATTTGTGTGGCCACTATTAAGGGGTTATAGAGGTTGGAATTCAAAATATCTGGATTTCTAAAACCACCCCCTCTGTTCAATGTACAGATTTCTTTACTTTCTGCACTTAAGAACAGCCCAAACAATAGAATCAAAAGCAATCAAAGGAGCTTTGAAAGTAAAGTAAGCATGTCAGGGTAAGAATCATCAGGATTATGGAATGATTAACATAAAAAGAACGAACCAGAATAAGAAGGGATAACGTTGCTGCCTTTATTTCAATAGACTCAAAAAAGCATTAAAAATTAAATTGTATGAAACCATAATTCTACCATCTACATTAACTGCAAAGTTCCTTTATAACATTAAATTACAACATTAATTTAAAAAAATACTCCTAATTTTCCATTTGAATATTCTCATTTATATTGATGCCTTTGCCTAATAGAACACACACTTGAAAATTACCTTGTAATTGTCAAAGAGAAACTTATTACAACAGAGTGAAATTGAATTAGTGAAAAAAAATCTCAAGAAATGGTTTAAAAGATCAATCTTCACAAACTGTTTCAAATCTCACTATTCACAAATTGCTTGTTAGAGAAATTTCTTGCTGATTCCATTGGCTATGATGAATAATTTGCAAACTGCAGGGAAAATTATATATGCTTATAATGCCTGAAGAATCTGGAATATTTCTGAGAATAAAGAAGGAAACACCTGAAAGTTAAGCTGTGCCAATCTGTCTTTTTCAAGGACATAATGTTGTTCAAGGAAAGCGCACAACTAGCTGAAAAGCTATATTTGCTAGAAAGAGGAGCAACAATAAATACACCAAGTATAACTGCTACACTGTGCATTTGCTCTATGGTTATCTTGACATACTTCACCTGATTCTTAGGATCAAGTTTGGGGCAAGGACGTCCTCCATTGTAAGGTTTTTCCTTCAGCCACCTGGACCGAATTTTCACTCCTGTTCCACAAGATGAACTGCAAGGTGCCCAACTGGACCAGTCACTTAATTTGCAATCAAATGGACACGGTACCATACAAGGCTGTTCAATGTAACCTAAAATCAAAGGTAAAAAAACAGGTTGTTGGGATTATGTTGACATTGTATAACATAAAACACAATAGGCACTGCTTCTGCTCACAGGGTCACTTGTTACCTTTCTCACTGATCTGCTTTGCTTACATCTCTGGTTCATTACTTCATCCTGATCTCACAACTACTCAGTCTCTATTTGAAGGCCACCACCTACTGTGACCCCTGCATCTAAGGTTGGCTAACCCGTACCCCTCACAGGTAATGAAATTGCTTATGCTGCTGTATTAAATAAAATAGAAATGGCTGCAGTTGAGATTTACACTAGCTATGAAGCAATATTCCTTCTTCACTTTTGCATTGAACCAGATTACAAGGCCAAATAAAACTTTTCTTATCATCAGGCTCTATTAGCAAAATACTCGTAACCATTACACATGTCTGAATATCTAAGCTTCAAGGCAATTAATTTTGTAGACAAAGATTGCTAGTATCATTCACATTCTCTTTTTTTGCTGCATTTTGCCAACCTTTTGCACTGCAGGCAGACAATAGACTAATAGCTAAAACAATTTCTTCCATAACAGCTCTTTATTGCAACTCTTTCTCAAGCTGCATAATAGTCTAATTTAAAATGTAGACTAATTTGGTTTGTTACTTTGCAGCTGAATGCTTTAACAAAGCCATGTACATCTCAAAATCCATTTAAGATAGGCATTGTCGCTGCCCTTCATTATTTATCAGCAATTCCTTTCCCCCAAGTGCCCACAGAATATGATCCATTTGGATTTTGTATGCACTTTCTGATTATGCATTATGAATAACAGAAGATCAGAATATGATCCCTTCTGATTTCTCCCTCTTAACCTTCACTAAGCAAAAAGGATGCCTTCCTTTTATATTACCTTTCAAAAATTAAAATTAAAATTCACAAGCTACCCCAGTGATAAGGCATCTTACTTCAGCAAAAGACACTGGAGGTAGTAGTGGAGTGCAAATGATGCAAAAGGTAAGGATGGCCATCCATCAGGCCTGCACCAGTTTTGGACCTGTTGGACAGTCAGGATTCAACTTCCACTCTTGCAGACATTCAAGAACAGTGAGATGTCAACACATTGACAGAATCTAGGACCAGAGCAATGCTTTGAACCAGCCTTTGATTTAGGTGCCCATGTAGATGGGCCCAAAGTCTCCTTTTTATCAGTTGGCCTACCATTTTCAGATACAGGGGAGCAGGCCCGTAGCCAGGATTTCGATTCGGGGGGGGGGGGTGAGTTTCGGGGGGGGGCTGAGTCTGAGTGAAAGAGGGTCTAGCCTAGCAAACCTTTTGTATCATTACCCCAATACCCCCATGCATATGGGATATATTGAGTATGGTGATCAGATCATGATATGAATAAACGTAACAGTTTAAATAATGCACCAGTAAGGCCTTTTCGCAAACCACCATGAGAATTTCGGGGGGGGGCTGAAGCCCCCCGAGCCCCCCCCCCCCGGCTACATGCCTGCAGGGGAGGGCATTGTCCTTTTACCAGTGTTCATTGTCCTTTTACCTCCCCCGCCGCTCTCCTGGCACATCATTTCAACACACCGAGAGAGCTCGCTGGGGCGTCTTCTGGAAAACACGTACATTTTTCTTAGTTTTCTAAGGGGTCTGGGGGCTTGGGGGGAGGGGTGTATGGCCTTCAAGCATTTTCTCGGGCTAGTCCCGAGATAACGTCTAACATCTACCCCAGAAGTGCTTTCTGGGGTGGGTGTGGACAGACCCCAGGGAAATTCCACATTTTCTGCATTTTTCTCCCAGGATTAGGGCCTGGCTAGATCTGGCCTCAGAGGATGGGAAAGGCAAAGGCAAGCCCCCATCCTAAACAAATCTTGCTAAGAAATGTCCCATGACAGATTCATTTTAGGCCTGAAATGATTTGAAATGTACACAACAACAACAGGGTAAAATCCAATAGTGTACACATGGGCCTCTGCTTGTTGAATGAGACTTTACTCTCATTTCTTCTATAGTCTCCCAATCTCTTGAGCAGACTGTTAGTGCATATGAGGTTTTTTCCATAAGTCAATACAAAACAAAGGAATTCAGAGCTTCCTTGATATAGCTGTAGCTTCAACTAGCTGTTCTGTTTATAATCTTGTAACTGGCTGCAGAAAAATGCCATTTTGTTGTTTTCCACTTGTTAAATGTTGAATTGGGACCCAACGATCACAAATAGATGCCTTTATCATTGCATTACACTAAAATACACTGAAGCAACTTGTGCAAATCCACTTATTGAATAATAGTAACAAAAGGATAAAGGTAACTTTTATTATCTCTCAATCTTCTCCCTCCCCCTCCCCCTCTCTCTCTTGTACCAGCATGATGTAGTGACTTAAATGTTGAGCTGGGAATCTGAGAGACCAAGGGCTCAAAATCCTGCTCAGTCCTGCAAATATCTATGAGTGACTGTGTGTATGACACACTAGCTAAGGTGAAAGCAATGGTAAATCTTCTGTGAGTAAATCTTGCCAAGAAAACCTTAGTACAAATTAACTTGGAGGCACATAACAACAACAAATAGATACATTGACTTTACCTTTCAAACAAGTTCCTAAGGTGCTTGCAAAGAATCTTATCATATTTATGTTATTTCATGGAACTCAAGTGCAGAGGGCTTCTAGCAGGTCAATCCAGACACATATCCACAAGACCTGTGGGCTGTTACCTTATTCATTATCATACCTATGGCTTCTATTTCTTTTTCCTCATGAATTAAACAATAGTGGAGAAAACACTCTGATGCATATTAGTACTTCACTCTAATGAAATGTGGTATTTGGCTCAAACATTGCACAGCATTGTAACAGAGTTTGCACTGACCATTTGCCATGGAACATAGAGAGTGACCACAATGGATAACTTCTTTGTGAAAAACCTAGGCTGATGGTGTTATAAAAGAAGTCTTTCCCTCTCCATAACTATATTCAGTACCTGGAGAATTTAAGAAGGCAACAAATCCTTCACAGACCCAATCTGTTTTATCAATTTATGTACTTCAACCACCAATGCCAGCAGAGCTAGCTAGGCAACCTTGACTAAAAGGCTGCAAAAAGGGATTCAGAAAAGAGTGAAATTAAAGACTTAGGAGTGAGAAGTAGAACTGTATACGTTGAATGGTGCTAGAAGGCAGCCTGGCTAAATGAACTTTAGTGTGTGTGTGTGTGTGTGTGTGTGTATATTGTTATGCAAAAGTCTTGTCCAGAATATAACTAGGCAGCTTCTTCACACATTACTTCTCATACTAGATTCTGAAGCACAAGGCAGAAGAACTATCAAAGATATTTTAAACAAACTCATATGTACACACACTGAACATAGTATGTAACTAATGAGTGGTCCAAGAGCGTGTAGGGATATGTTATTTCTTTTTCCCCCTATTCATAAGCAAAAAAAAAAAAAAAGCCCAAAATACAAATCATGGTTTCAGGCTAACATGAAGAAAATGAAGGTCTTGGAGAAAATGCTAAGGGAATGTGTATGGTCAAAAGGTGAATCTTAAAAATGCAATGTAGAAAGATAGTCAAGCTTCTCTTAATAAAAAAGCCAGAGTTTCCTCGACTATTTCTTAGCTTATCTGAAACTCTGCTACAAGTGTTATAGCTACACAGTATCATAAAAGAATGTTAAAATGACAGAGGGATGAAACTTTCAGCATAGTTTCTGAAGCAGATGCACCTCTAATCTAGCCAGCTTTAATCTTATTCACCTCCACTAGTGGCTTATTTAATTAACCAACTTTCAACAGCTTGGCAAGAAAACGGAAAGGTGCCTCACAGAACTCAAGGACTTTTAATAGAATGCCATGCATCACTTCAAGTATCAGTGACAATGATGATAATGATTTTCCTGAAAGCAGACAGATTGTTGTTTTTTCCCCCTCAAAAAATCCCTTCTTGAAATACAATAGTGTATAATAATAGAAAATAAATAAACTAATGATCATGTTTATGTAAATAAGATTTCTGTTCAGCATCTTGTTTCTTCTCTACCCAGTCTACATATGCAGTGTGAAAGCTAAAGAGATATACCAGAATCACCAAAATCCTTTCCTCTCCATATTTTTAGAGGTTCTTTACACTAGCTGAAATCCCCAGAATCACCTTGAACGTAAGGCTGGCAATCTTTATTACGCACAGATATTCCCAATCAGTATTAGGGGTTTAAACTGACTTTGGCCATGACTTCAGAGCTGTCTCAATAGCTGGATTAGATCTGATTCACACTGGATATAAATGCAAATAACGGGATTGGATCATCATCATGCCACCATCATTCTTAGTTGGACACAGAACTCTATGCAAGCTCCTGGCCATTGCAGGCACCTCTGCTTACATCAGAATATGGCAGCTGCATGATCAGCATGAAGAAATGGGCAGACCTTCTCTTTCTCCCTGAAAGAGAAAGAATCCCATTCTGATGTAAGCAGAGGTGCCTGCTCAACCAGCCAGTCTCCATTTCTTTTTTCTAGAAAGAAAAGGGAGGGATCATTCTACTTTTTCATGTTGGTCACACAGGTGCCCCTATTCTGACATCAGCAAAGGCACACCCAATGGACAGGAGCTGCATGGCTAGCTAAAAGAAGTGGTGGTGACACCAAGGACATAAGAACCATGCTGCCCCAGCTGAGTGGTTGCACTCCCTAGCCATATTCAGCATTGAGAGGCCAAATTTGGGGTTGCTTGGGTCACTTTTAAATTGAGCTAAACTGCTCAGCATAGGCATGACCTTAATGTTGCTGTTAACAGCAAAACTACCTGTGTTGTGCCTTTGCTTTCAAAAATTAACAAGAGATTTCATAATAGGTCTCTTCCCATCTATCTTCCCATTTGCTTATCGTGATGTATCAAGATGCTTGAGGAAAGGGTTTGTTGTACTAAAACTCTTAGAATCCCATGCAGATTGAGCAATTCTAGGAAGCATCATCCTTTTAAAAAGTACATTTTGCAAACTCTGCATGAACAGAACTAGCACTGTT